TCCGTTCATTTAGTATCAATTCATCATTTTTTTTACCACGGTCTAGAGCCCAGCTCATAATCACCGTTATCTACTACGGTCTAGAGCCCCGCTCATAATCACCGTCATCTACTACGGTCTAGAGCCCAGCTCATAATCACCGTCATCTACTACGGTCTAGAGCCCAGCTCATAATCACCGTCATCTACTACGGTCTAGAGCCCAACTCATAATCACCGTCATCTACATCGGTCTTGAGCCCGGCTCATAATCACCGATTCCTTATAATTCAAATTCTTAGGATCTAATTCATCCATTTCTCAGCTAACATTTCCAACTAATATTTCAATGCTAGTTATTTATTTATTTCAATATAATTCCTTCTTCTTGCATAATTGGCCTTAACATCAAGTATCACTTTCATACCTTCATGGCTTCTCCTCATGGCATCAAAGTATACTATCCCAAATGATATTCATGGTTGGTACAACCATCATACACACATATTCATAACATCTAAACATACACAATTTATTCATAAATTTGCGTATCATGCATACTATGCTTATAATCAATAGTAGTTCTATTTAGGCATTATTAACCATTAACAACTCATGCACATCACACTTGTATTCACTTAGGAAATCCCATGAAATTAACCCAAAGATTATAAGTAACATAGTCGGTCATCCTCACCTTAATTAAGCTTAAGCGCGTTCTATGCTTCTCGATTGAACTTTGACTAATTCCGGCGAACTTTGACCAACTCCGGCGAACTTTGACCAACTCCGGCGAACTTTGACCAACTCCGACGAAACTCCGGCGAAGCTCAAAAATACTTTAAATCAAGTTCCTAACAAGGTTTTATCATCACAAAACCCATATCAACACAAATAACCTATAAAAGGTTATTTTCCGGCAAACCGGTCGATTTGGCTTCTAAGTTCGTTTTTGGACTTAGAATCACTTTCCAATCCATTATTCCACACTTAAATCATGTAGAACAATACTAAAGGTCTTTCATATGATATATATATCTTATATGCTAGAAGAAAAACAAAGGAAAAGTTATGATAAGGTCATTACCTTAATTTTCACCCTTTTTCCTAGCTTTTTCCTTCTTAAACTTTCTTCTTGGACTCCCTTGAGCTTGAGTTCGGATTTGGGGCTATGGAGATGAAGTTGCAGAGGTTCTTTCCTCCTTTCCCTTGCTGCTGGCCGAACTAGTGAGGAGGGGATGGGTAGGAATGCCCCTTTGTCTCCTTTTGGGCAATGAGTGAAAGGGAGGAGGGCCACCATGATTTGTTTTGATGCCAATCATCTCAAATCAGTCCTCTCCCACCTCAACTCTCCTACCAGCCTGCTCAGGCCCTGAATAATGAGGCTAAAATCGTGGGTTGGCCCCCACCCATGTGGGAGGTCAACCCTTTTTGTCCCGAAGTGTACAATCGGTCCCGAAAGTTGTATTTTTCCGAACTGTTTTAAGTATATTTTATTTTATCGAGTCAAATAAAATATAACACTTGTTCCCAATTCTTAATGGACCTTAGAATCAATATGCATCCCTCAACTTTAATTTATAAGTCTCCGAAATCCCTTTTCGGGCTGTTATCTGATAGATTGCCGATACTGATAATTTGGCCCCGTTTGACCAACCGGTCAACCCTATGCCATTGTCATGGCTCAACTAGGATATCCACCACCATACACATATTATCTAGTCCAAGATCAATATAATATGTGGCCCCGATAATATCGGGCGGTCCCCACTCCCGATGTGGGCCCCACGTGCATTTTACTATTCACGAAAAAAAAATTAATACAAATTCACAACTTCGTAAATTCACTAAAAATTTCATAGGGTTCAATAAATTATTAGCTTAAAGATAAATACATTTGGGGACGGTGTTACACCTTTACGACGAATGGTCTCTCAGTGCCGTCATCCTCAAATCACGAACGGCATCTCAGCCTCTGAGCGTCGAACGTCTTGAGCAGGCGTCCATCGCCTCGTCCTCATGTTCAGACAGGTGTCCATGGCCTCGTCCTCATGTTCAGGCAGGTGTCCATCGCCTCGTCATCATATTATAGGACCGGCTCCTCATCATCGTACGTCCTCAGATCACGAACGACCCCTCAGCCTCATCGTGATTCTATATCTCAAGACCGGCTTCCTCAGCGCCGAGAGTCTTGAGCTTATATGACGGTCGGCTTCATCATCGACTCGTCATCATATTTTAGGACCGACTCCTCATCGTCGTACGTCCTCAGATCACGAACGGCCCATCAACCTCTATGTGATATCTCAAGACCGGCTTCCACTAGTGCCGAGCGTCTTGAGCTTATATGACGACCGACTTCATCATCGCCTCATCATTAGGACCGACTCCCCATTGCCGTTTGTATTCACATCGCGGCAGGCCTTCGATCTCAACGTGATCTTCTGTATCGACACGGCAGACCCCTCAGTCTCAACGTTATCTTTTACCTCCAGATGCGGCAGACCCTTCGGTATCAACGTGATCTTTTACCTCCAGACACAGCAGACCCCTTGGTCTCAACGTGATCTTCCGTATCGACTCGGCAAACCCCTCGGTCTCAACGTGATCATCATACTCTGAAGACCGGCCTCATTCTCTCACTTTATGGATAAGGACCATCAAAAGTTGAGATTATTATTTTTTCCTAAAATGGAAACTAATATCCAACCCTTTAGCGATCTTCTTACAATAGTCTCACCTTTTGATTATTCAGGAATAATCCAACTTTTGCACCCCATCTTCATTCAATGGTCCCTGACCGGTTGATGACATGCTATTCCAAGTTATTTTCTTATCTTTGTAATATATTATACCATAAATGATAGTTCGGATTATTGAATGAAAATAACTTGGAATAGCATGTCATCAACCATTATTGAATGAAGATGGGGTGCAAAGGTTGAGTTATTCCTGAATAATCAAAAGATGAGATTATTATAAGAAGACCACTAAAATATTGGATAATTAATTCCATTATCCCAAACTAAAACTGAAAGACACGTATGAAACTATAATGGACAGAAAAGCAAAAGTCAAATGAGAAAAAGTAAATAAAAGAGAATCAAATCAATAAATTACGCTCTTCAAAACACGACTAGCATCACAAAGTGCTAGAGATGGTGCGTAAATTAATACTCGATAGCTTTATATCTCATCACATGAGATCACATGAGATCATTTGGTATTTGGTAATTTCATTTTGTTTTTGTCTTATTAGTTGTATCAAATTTTAAACTTCAAATGGTTTTTTTGGGACAAATGCTAAATGATTTAATAATGAAAAAAAGGTTAGAATTGATTTTTAATTGAATTAATTTATTAAGACGAGTCCATTTAATCACTCTTGTGTTTCATTTATTAGGTTTATTAGCGGATTTTTTTACTTTTGATTAGAAGTTGAATTGTGTAATACTCCGTAATAAAAATAAGTAAAATTGAAATGAACTGAATTCGTTAGAGAACTATTTTAACTACTTCGTATTATTTATTAACAAAAACATACACTTTAACTTTTCTTATAATTCAGTATATTAAGCCAATTTAACAATATCACTAAAACAATTTCACTAGATTTAATCGATTCAAATAATTTTAGTGTTAGCAAATATATACACTCTTAAGCCCGTTTGCTAACTCCTATTTTTAGCCTATCCGCCCTATTAGGTAGCCTTTTTACTAAATAAGTAACTTTAATTCCTTATGCTGACTTATGTAATCATCAAAATGAATATGAGTGATGTTATTTTTCTGATTGAATTGAGTGTAAGTTATTACAGAAGATCATTCTAACTATTTTTCATATGTTTTTTTATTTTATTAATAAAATATATTGCCTTCATCATACAATTAAATTCTGAGTTGAGCCAAACTTTATAAATTTGGACCGTTAGTGATGGATAACGTATCTGGGGGTAGTTTATCCGAGGGGTTATTGCGGAGAATAACTAGAGAGAAGTCAGAACAACAAGTAAGAGAGAGTCAAAATGTATTAAATGAACTCGTTGTGTGAACTTGTGATGATTTACAATGGAGAATGGTCTGCTATTTATAGCAGCAATAAATGCGATGAGAGTATACGTGTCAACAATCCAACGGTCGAGGGGTCACCTCAACCGGGGTGGCACCGAAACTTGCATGTGGCCGCATTAAATGTGATGGTTGGATGTGACATTGTACTTGGTACGGTGATTCAGGCGCATGTGGAGAGGAGATCTTGTCGAGGAGGACGCCTTCGGCTAAAGGGTGTTGGGCCGAAGGCTCTTCTTACCGGGGGTCTCTCTGTGCCTTCGGCTAGAGGACGCCTTCAAGTGCCGAAAGCTTAGTTTTCAAGCCTTGTTCTGCTGTGATATTTTTGAGCTCGATTCTGTCACTGCTAGCCTTCGGCCATGGGGCCGAGGCCACCCTCTTTCGTGTTATGGGCAGCTTAGAGCTTTATTTTGTTGGATTTGGCCCGTTTAGACCTGTTAGGTTTGATTGCAGGAGTGGAAGCATGTGGGCCGGGGATCCCTGTGCCATATACTTCATCAGTTGGTTATTCAAAATTTACATTACTCTATCACACAGAGTATTTTCATATACTTAGTTGCAATACGTATCATTCAAATGTTAATTATTCTAGATATTTAAATTAAGAATTTACTTTTGGAACAAAATGAGTATGCAGAATTAATCAATTTAGCTGCACTTAAGTCAGAATTTTATCCATTTCAATATACTCCATCAATTCAATTAATTAATTTGATTGTTACAAAATAGACTATGAACCTTTTATTGAGATATACTCCATATTTGGTTAGAGGGGTCAAATCATAATACTGGTAAATAAGGGAAAAATATGTTTGAAGTACGAAAACATAAAAATGGTGGGCTAGAGTTGTCATTGGAAAAGTGGCGGTAAAAAGGCGCTTCTTCCACGGAAGAAAACGACGTAAGCATTTTTGTTTATACACTCCGTATTATATTTGGAATTATTATGTGCACGTCACCGATCCCCAGACTCTCCGTTCATACACTAATTTATGTTTTAAAATAAGTTACGTCCGTTGAATTTGGTGTAAAGAAATAGTATAATCCGGCTGTAAAAGAGAATACTCGTTTACTTTTTGGTTTTTCCGGATGATCTTTAAGTCTTTGATCCGAGCTCCACTCCGTTTCTCCTATGGAATTTTGTTTCTTTGAGTCTTTATTCATTTCTTTGAGAAAGCTCTGAGCTTTCAACTTGATATCGTCCATCGGAAGCATAATCCAGCTGTATGTTGTTTCATTTCTTTTTCGCTTTTCAACCATTTGATTTCTGTGCAACATTTGAATTGGAAGTGGGGTTTGGATGTATCTGCATATAAAGATTGTGTTTTTTTCTATTTTTTGCAAGAGAATTTTTACTATTTTGGCGCTTAATCATCTGGGTTTTTTGGGTGATGGGGTTTTGCTGTACCTTAATTTATTCATTCTGGTGATGGGTTCGTCATTCATGGTCAGCAGTAGTAAGACAGGAAGAGTGAACGTTGACTGAAGTGTGTCAGCTGGGATGCCAACCTTCATTTCTCAGACCACACCAGCTTCCAATCCTATGTAATCTCCCACCCCCTCTCTCTGTCAAAGTGTCTCTTTTGATCTTTTGTTGTTGTTGTTGTTCTTTATGTGATTGTATTTCTCTGCGATTTGAGAAGTCTTGTTGAAAAATTTCTCCGAAACGAATAAATATGAAATACAAAGTACAAAATAAGTACCCGTAGGATGAAAATAACAAACCGAATTATGAAATTTTGTACTACTTTTTCATATCAGATTGACCTTCTAGTATTGAATCGCAATTCTTATTCTTGTATGACAAATTGACAATCCATCCGTAGCCATGATGTGGGCCCTTACACATCGTATGGAACTGCATGCCTTAACAAATATAGAAAGTTAGAAACTTCAAATGTGCTGTCAGTAGTTGTAGGTAAAAAACGGTGTTTAATTGATGAATCTTATTACAAAGACTCGATTAGGCATCTAGGAGCTAAGTTTAAACCAAGCATTGGTCCTCGCATCCTTGGTGATGTTAGTTAGCATTGTAATTGTGCCGTATGCTTCTTGAAATTCATGCTTTATGCTTAATTGAATTGTACTCTGCATGTAAGAATGTGACTTCATTTTCTGATGGTTTTCAACCATAGGCATTTATCTGATCGTTAGTGTTTTTTTCTCTGTAGTGAGGTTAATTGATGCTTAGGGCTCGTTTGGTAAAGTTTATCTTGCTGAAATGGCTGAGTCTTATTTAAGGAAAAGTTTCGGTAACACATCTATTTGAGCCAAATAAGTAAGTCAAGAGTTACTTATCTAGAACTGTCTACCAAACGGAGAGTTAGCCAACAAAGTAAACAAATCTATTGCTCAATCACCTGTTTGGTTTAGCTCATCCAACCTTTTTGGGGTTACAGGGCTACAGAGGGAAACACGTCTACAACACATAATTCTCAAGAAGTGATGAATTTTGGGATGCTTGAGCAATATCTTGGATTTCGTATGGCAGATGGTGCTAATGTCAGTCAAAGTGTGTATCCTATACCTTCCGCTTTTGATCCTGAACAACTCTTTCCTTAGAGGATTTGATGAAACATTTTTTTTTGTGATTTAGGCCCCCTTTTAAATTCTATGCCTGCAAGTATCCCATCACTCGTGCCCGGTGGGTCCGGGATGCTCAACAATAAGGTTATTGCTGTCATTACTCTTGCGAAATTCCGCTTACAATAATTGAATACTGCAAATTGTTATACGCTCTCTGCTCACTTTTAGTTGCTCCTGCATGTATGGATTTTAGGGACTGTAAGAGGAAAGTTGTAGGATAGCCAATATCCAAAAAAGGTATGAGAGTGATGAAAAGTTGGAAATATCTGAAAGAAATGATAACAAAAGTTAAGAGAAGTAATAATAAACATGCATAAAAGGAACTGGGAGCAAGTAAAAGTGAACAGAGAGATTATCGAACAATTTATCCATTTATCACCTTTGTTGAACATTCAGGCTAATGCCTTTTCAAGTACAAGTATGCCAGCAAAGCCTGAAGGACCTATGGGATTGCGGAGAAACCAAGGTGTATCTGATAATTGGGCAGACTCCAAAATGGCGGATTCGAGCTCCCACACTGATACTTCAACTGAAATGGATGGAGAAGATAAAAATCAACGCGTAAGTTGCACACTGTAACTTCTCTCTTTCATTATATTTATTAGCACTTATGGAGACTTTCTCTATCTGTATGGTTTCCATCTCTTTAGTCATCCACATTGATAAAGTGGGAATTATATTCAGCATAAAAGATCAGCTCAATCCAAGTAGACCTATAAAAGAACATGCTGACTTTTGATTTTATTTTTTTTGTTTTATTGAGCTACCATTAACACATGGACTTTTACTTTTCAATTTTTTGTTTTAATGAGCTACCATTAACACACGCACTTTAAAATTTAAATTATTTTTTAATGAACTAGTACCTTTAGGGGCATGTTAAGCCCTCAAATGTGACAAACCAACATGCAACTCTGCAATGCTTTGAGTTGTTTCTTGCCTTCTAGATGGAACTCTAAGTCTCTAAGCCTTAATAGAGCTCTAGGTCCCAATTAACTTCTCTAGATTACATTGAATGTTAAATTAGTATCCTGTTTGATTGGAACATACTCCGTATGTTTCTAAAGTTTCATTTGAAACTATGGTGCCACAAGTTTTATTTGCTTAGACTGCTATACATATTAAAACATTTTTTGAGTTCTTCACTGTGCAGCATGAAACAGGTAGTCAATACACTGGTGTTGCAGCTTCTGATTCCAGTGGTAAATCAAAGGAAAAGAATTTGGATCAAAAGGTTAGATGAATTAGAAGTTTCATTAACTAGCACATGGGTTGAAAGAGTTCTCTTGCTAAACATATCAATTGCAGACGCTAAGAAGACTTGCGCAGAACCGTGAAGCTGCAAGAAAAAGCAGACTGAGAAAGAAAGTATGCCTTTATTTTATCTTCCCAATATACATTTGGCTATTTATATTAGCCCTATTCATTTTACCCCTGGTGTGAACCATATCATTAACAAACTGACTAATATATGGTACTCTACTAGGCATATGTTCAACAGCTAGAGAATAGCAGACTGAAGCTAACACAATTAGAACAAGAACTCAAGCAAGCACGGCAACAGGTTTATTTCCTCATGTTGCCTTTGTTGCAGGTAGTTGAAGAATTCCTGTAACCCTGTTTTTTGTATATATGTTTGCAGGGAGTATTTGTTTCAAGCATGGGAGATCAGTCCCATGGAGTAGGAAGTAATGGTAAGCATTTTCTTGACAAGTAATATCAGACAAGGCTTATTTGTTTGAAAATAAATATAAATATAATATTTTTGAAATTAATGATAAATACTTCGTATATGAATAAAAATGTAAAATGATAATAAGATACAAATGTTTAATGTGCAATGACTATAGTGGTATTTTCACAATGACTGGGTTGATCATAGTGATGTTCTATTTTATATTGTAGACTTGTAGTTATCATAACAGTGTATTTTCGCACTGAAACATGTGACTATGTAGTCACATGTTTATGCACTGCCTCATTTCAATAACTTAATAGAAAAAACCCAATTTTTTTGTGGATTTTCTTCTGTTTGACAGAAGAAAATAGTTTTCTGAAGGAAAATTAATTATTTTCCCGACGGGAAATGTTTTCCACGATTCTTTGAACTTTATTTTCCTGTTTTCCTGTGTTAAAACATTGTACTATACATAGAACAACTCGAATAAATATTTGTCACTGAACACATTTCGCTCACCAAATTATTTCCTTGCAACCAAACAAGTCTTAAGGAGACTTGTTGAAGCTTCTCAAATTACTTCTTGGTTCCTTTTTTGACTAGTACTTTCTTGGTTCTTATTCACTTTAAGTGTTACCCCGGGAAAGGAAATGTAGTCTTACAACAAACATGGTCTACTGTAGGAGCTATGGCATTTGATGCAGAATATGGACGATGGTGGGAAGAACAAAACAAGAGAATTAGTGAATTAAGGTCCGCTGCCAATTCCCACGTAAGTGATGTTGAGCTGCGAGTCATTGTGGACAGTGTCAAATCACACTTTGATGAAGTGTTCAAGCTGAAAGGAAATGCTGCAAAATTGGACGTGTTCCATATATTGTCTGGAATGTGGAAATCCCCTGCTGAGCGGTGTTTTCTCTGGATCGGTGGCTTTCGTCCATCTGAACTTCTTAAGGTAGTTTTTGACATAAGGGTGGGTTTGGGTTTAATTTTTATATTAAAATGGTTTACAAAAAATCAAATGCATTGGAAAATAAAGAGTTCTAATATCCCACATCTAATGTATGTTGTTACTTCTTTACGTCTACTATTTTGTTACATAATTTTGCATTGTAGGTGTAATTAGGACATACATCGGTTGAGCAGGATCCTGGTCCCCACATTGGCCTATCCAGAAATTGGTTCAAGGGACACACTATACTTAAATATCATAGATAACTAAAATATACAAAGTACAAAATTTAGGGGAGTTACATGTCAAGTCATCCCACATCGCATCAAAATTATGAACTCACATATAAGGTTTTGGGTCATTCCTTCTTAACATTGAACTGAGGTTGACTTCTTAAAATATGCCTTGTAATTTTAAAGTAGTATGAGAGCTTGCTATGCTCTAATAGAAATTCAAGTCTCATCAACGATTACACATATTTCAAAATTGTTATGATCCAATGAACCGCGATCTTGCAGATGCATCGTGCATGTTACACTGAGTTCCATACCGTCCGAGTAAAAAAATTATAGTCACATGCAGGGTTTAGATCACATCCAAGTCGCATACAGGGTTTAGATCACTCCTCCCTTTAAGGTTTTTAGGTCGACCTTTATATATATATGTATATATAAAAAGGTCGACATACATCAATAATTGGGGCATACCCCAATAATTATTCTACAGGGGATACAAATTACAATAGAAATAATAACATGATTATTAATAATGTCTAATATATTATCACTTTCTAGCGCCAGTTTACCTGAAATAGTGCTGATGCCAATGCAGCTTCTCATGAATCAATTGGAGCCTTTGACAGAGCAACAGATGGCAGGCATATGCAAACTGCAACAGTCATCACATCAGGCAGAAGATGCTATTTCACAAGGAATGGAGGCATTGCAACAGTCTCTCGCTGAAACGTTAGCACAAGGCACTTCTGGCCCAGACAGGCATTCCGGAAATGTAGCTAATTACATGGGTCAAATGGCTATGGCCATGGGAAAACTAGGCACCCTTGAAGGTTTCCTTCGCCAGGTAAATGTTCATCCTCATTTTTCATGCATGTTCTTTGAACCAGAAGATTAATAGGAATAGTGTTCAGGCATAATTGAAAGTGAAAGTGTGAAACAATCCAGCATCAGACAAATATAAAAGTCCAGTCATGTTTTATCCCTATCACGTTGATCTTTTTAGTCCCGTGTCTTACATAAGTACCAATATGAGTATATTATATTCAAATGAGTAACTCTTCCCTGGTATACATAAAAAATGAACTGACAAGTACACATACTTCAAAGTAATATCTTGCATTCTTGCGGAGCTTGCTAACATATAATTATTGCTTACTCCTAATAGGCCTACGTTTCAGGATATAACAAGAAATCTTAGTAGCAAGTAATAATTCATTTATGGAATTCCTTCATTTATTCTTACGTGGATATCCATATTCTTGCCGCTAAAAGTCTGTTTTTATATATAACTATGTTTGTTTATAACTCACATCACAAGAGGGTTCATTGTGGTTCTCCACTCCTCTTCTTGCCTATGATCTTCTGACCCTACAAAAGTAGATTTTATTTGTCATATATGTGGACCTAATCTTTTTCCTTTTACAATGTATGTATTTACATATATAGGCGGACAAGTTGAGGCAACAGACGCTGCAACAAATGCACCATGTATTGACGACAAGGCAATCAGCTCGTGCCCTTCTGGTCATAAATGAATATTTCGCACGTCTTCGAGCTCTAAGTTCTCTTTGGCTGGCAAGGCCACAAGAATAATAGTTAGGTCCCCAACTTAATGTGCTGATTACCGAAGATCATAATCAACATACTGCAGCAAAACTGCTACTAAATGGCAACAGTCTTTGTACTTTTCCATGAGAATGAAATGGTGTATCTTTTGTCATCTCTGTCCAGATAGAAAGCTAAAGATGATTTGTATCATAGGTTTGTACAAGAGACTCAACGATTGTAAGAATAGAGTATAATGATTTGAAGCTATTGCAGATGTAATAAAAGCACTGGGGGCGGGGCGGGGTGGGGGCAATAGTTGACACGATTGCAGACAAATGTGCAGTCACCCAGACTCAAAAGTTGCTTATTTTACAAATAAGCAGAATAAGCGAATGTTGACTTGCATTGGTGAAACAGATGTTACCAAATGCTTTTCCTATACAAGTGACCAAACAAATTCAGCTATTTCAGACCAACAATCTCCACCAATCAAGATCTAATTGTAATCCAGCACAATATAAGTTCACTCTAAGCATGGACCCGGTCCGGAACCGGATCCTGTATTGTTCGGGCCTGCATTGGGTATATATGGTGCTCGGTCCCGGGTTTCATTTGTTGGGACCGAACTGGGCGGTACCGATTTGGGTCCCAACAGTCAATTTTTTTGTTGGACATGCCAATATTAGGAAGTTGTGCTTACCCACGCGAATGGTCCTCTTTTTAAAATTTAAATGTGATTGGAGTTGCCCGATTTCTTTACCTAAAATTGATATATTTTTCGGTGTAGAACAGGTACTTAGAATCAGTATAAACTTGATCCGGTTTTTAATTAAAGAAAGTTACCAAGATGACTTAGATAGTCCTAAACTTTATATTAATTGACTAAATGACCGGAATAGTAGTGCTACGGTTCTGAAAGACTAATATAGGATCACATATCAATTTGGACATAAATAAGACCGTACTTGAAGCAAAGAGACGAAATTACCTTGGCTTCCTCAACCGCCTCTCCATTTCTGCAGCCAATCCTTCGTCTCCTACTCTCCCTGATTTCATATTTGCAGAGAAGAAGGCTACTTCGCCGTCCGCTGCTCCACCCTCACACGCCATCACCGTTGCAAGCAACCTCAAATCCCTCGCTCGAAGTTCACATCTACTTATCGACATCATCTACTCATCGCACCGCGACCGTTTGAGCTCCGTCGCATCGCACTGTGACCGATCAACCTCCGCTGCATCGCACTGCAACCGTTCGACCGCCGCACCTCCATCACCAAACTTTCTTCTCCTCTTCTCTCTGAATTTCTGCACAGCAGCAGAGAGCTCTACACCGGCTTCTAATAGGCTCATACGACGGCGATCTTCACATATCCGGTGGGCTATGGTTTCGACGGTGGTGCGATTTAGGTCCCTGGGCGACGGAGGTGGGCTGGCGGCTAGGTTTAGGGGCGGTGGTGGTGTGCTGATTGCCGAGGGCTGTTGGATGGGGGCTGAACGCAGGTGGCTGGGGTTGGCTGTCGGCTGAGTTAGGAGGGGCGGTGGTGGTCTGGCTTTTGAGGGCTGGGGGTGGGGACTAACGGTTGGGCTAGGGGCTGAGGGCTTGGAACTAAGGCTGGGGCAGGGCTAGTGGGGGGTGGGGCAGGCTGTGCTTGTGGTGGAAGAGCAGTGGTTTTCATTGTTGGTCACTGGAGTCACTATTTGTGGCACTGACTAGCGGGGTGGGGGCGGTCACTGGTTGGGGTAGGGACGGTGACTACATGAACGGGGCTGCGGTAGTTACTGACCGGGGAGTCGGCAATGACTTGTTGGGGGCGGAGGAGATGGTTGAAAAATATGTCACTGGACGGGCAATGTTGGTCATTGAATGGGTAGACATTGGTTACTGAACGGGCGGAAGTTGGTCACTAGACGGAAGTCATTGTGTCAATTGGTCACTAGACAAAAGTCACTGCACATTTGGTCACTGTGATGCGGGTCATTGGTAGGACGTATTAATTTTTGGTCACTGGATGAATTTTGTAACTATGCCATTAGTAACTGTGACACTGGCCATTGCACATTTGGTCACTGTGACGGGTCACTGTAGCAGGCCAGTGGGTTTGGGCTGAGTAAGGGTGTAACGGTCCCTCAAGTATTATTCAGTCTTAATACTTGTTTTAATATTAATTTGTTGAATATTTAAATAATTTAGAATCAGATTATCACATAAAAATTACAGTTACAACAAATGGTGCATACAAACATTTCATTCTCAGCATTGTAAAGTAAAATTATCGGTTATAACTTTAAAATCAAACTTTTCTATCACGTTTTTCTCAATGCTTAATATTACAAATCCATTTAGATCTTCTTGCGACATATTAGGCTGCATATAGTTCTCGAGAATCTTAAACTTTGAAAAATTTATCTATACTATAGTCACAACTGCGTGTAAAGTCAACAATATCTAGGGTCATCTGCTCTATAAAATTGTGACTTTATTCCGAATTTGAAGGATAAAAGTTGAGTTAATTATCAAAATAGGACTAAAAGTCATTAACTTTTTACAAATAGGACCAAAAAATGAACTATGTTAGCATAGGACTAATTATGTGTATCTTGGACAATTATACCCTTATAGCTATTAAAATGTTTTAATTCCTAATAAAATAATAAAAAATAATAAAAATTCGTAAAAAATACTAAAAAATTAATAAAAACATTTCGATATTAAAAATTTAATTTTTTTTTCAAAAAATAAAAAAAAATTAAAAAATTAAAAAAAAAATAAAAACTCAAAAAAAAAAAAATCACCGCCGCCTCTGCCTCCTCAACACCACCACCTCCAGTCACCAGGAGAAAAAAATGCCAAGTTCATTACGAATGCCATATTTATGGCAGAAAAAAATGAAAATGTTGGCATTCGAAAAGAGAAATATGCCACTTTTTTGGCATTTTTCTGGGAAAATGGCATTTTTTTCATCGGCCGAAGGTGGTGGTGCTGGGAGGTAGTACAGGCGGTGGGAAAGGCATCCATATTTTTTTAAATATTTTTTACGGAGTTTTACTATTTTTTATTAATTTTTTTAAAAATAAAATTATTTAAGAAAAAAAAATTGAATTTTTTATTTTATAAAAATTTTATAAATTTTTTAATTATATTTCTACGATTTTTTGAATTGTTTTCGAATTTATTATGAATTAAACTTTAATTATGACTTTTGACTATTTTTAATTCATATTTAATGGAAGGGTAAGAATGGAATGCAAAAATAGGTATGTTTCCAATAGGACTCATATGGTCCTATTTTGGAATAAAAACATAGCAAGTCCTATTTTAGGTTTTTGCCATAGTTTTAGTCCTATTTGAACTAATTTCTAATAAAAGTTTGGAGTGGAAGTTTTTCGGTCGCGGCTTTTGGTTCCTCACGTTTGGCTGAATGGTACTTTCCTTTTGTTCCTAGAAGGGCTCAAAAATCGTTATAAGCTAAACAAAAAAATCAACCTATTCACCACTATAAAAAATGCAAATATTGGGCTTGAATAATTTATGGGCTTGTGGCCCGATGCCCCGACACCCCAAATGCAAATATTGGGCTTAAATATTTTATGAGCCTGAGGTGTGATGCCCTGGCACCCCAAGGCCATCCTTGCACGGTTCGACACTTCGACTTTAACGACTATTTCCTCCGGTTCCCACTATATGACTTAGGGCCGTCAATTTAAACCGAAAAACCGAAAACCTATCTGAAAAAACCAAACCGCCAAAGAAAAACTCGAACCGAATCGAAAAAATTGGGATCCAAAAATTGGGACCCGAAGTCTACCTTGGTTCGGTACCCGTTCTTCATATGCAAAAGGTCGGTTGAACCGAACCAACATGTTTTTATTATTAATAATAAACTTGTTATTATTAATAATAGTAATAATTAATGACGTTTAGTAACGATATATATAATATCACACCAAGTATCAATTGAACATATTTGACGAGTTGCGGAGTTGTTCGGCTACCTTTATTTGCTACGCCCAGGGACCGATTCCTGGCTACGCGAGAATTTTTTGTCTTGTGCATCTTGTCAAATGTCACTACTCTTTTGTCCCACACCGGAAATTGGGTAACTTTCTACTCCAAAATCATTTATATAAACGAGACCCCCCTTCCAAAATCTCACCAGGCTACCATTGAGTTTATGGGCACTGATATTGGCAAGTTCCGATGGGTCTAGTCTATTGAACACGAGTTCGAACTTATTTATTCCTACTGAGTCGGTTCTTTTCGGTTTTGGGCAAACCGAACCCAAAAATCGGGTACCAAAAATGGGTACCCGCTCCAAGAATTGTTCGGTTTCGATTGTGGTAATTTGTCAAACCGATATATCGGTTCAGTTTGTGGATACACTGGATTGGTTCGAGATCTGAACCGAATCCAACCCTCATATGAATATTTATAATTTATATTTGTTGGAGAAGGTCTGTAATACGGAGTATTTTTCTTCTTCTATTATCCCCCATAAATATGTGACTACCCTTTCCTTAGATATGCACTTAAATTGGCTGGCATTTGAACAGTTCTCACTAGTCACAACCTATGAAGCACGGATACTTCCCTAGGGTAGCGTATCGGCGTATCGGATACGTTCCCGTATTCGATACTCTAGGATACCCGTACCGTACGTTCCCGGGCCGTATCTGTAATTTTTAAAAGTTTCCATTTTTTTTTTGTAATTTTTTTGATAGTTTCCGATACTCGTATCCTGACGGATACCCGTATCACCTTTTTTGAATAAAAAAAAACCCCAAAATTTGAGGATCCTGAATCTATTGCAAGCAGATATTACATGGAACCTAAGAAGTGGTGGGCATGCTTTAGTTCTAATGCACCTTTTCTTCAGAAATTAGCTTTCAAAATACTAGGACAAGCTACTTCATCATCATGCTCAGAAAGGAATTGAAGTTCTTATTCTTTTATTAATTCATTTAGAAGAAACAAACTGCTTCCAAAGCGAGCGGAGGATTTGGTATTTGTTCATAACAATCTTCGTCTTTTATCATGAGCTTCTAAGCAGTATATGTTTTTAAAATATTGTTTTCTATCTTAATTATTCTAGAACTTTGGTACTTGCACTTTTAATTTCAAAATTGTAGTTGTTTGACTTATTTCTCATTTTAAATTAATGACTTATCGACTACATGTCTACATTTATATTTCGAGATGCACTAGTGTATATGAGAAATATTATGATGTATATGTAATGAATGGGTATATATTATTTTTTTTGTATATTTCATAGGATATTATATGTATATATTTCCAAAAAA